GGAATGTATAGTGTCACCAGCTCTGGAAGGGGAAATTGAATCTACTTAAAAGGAGAGTCACCATGCCATAAGTAGAAGAAATGATTTTTGAAACAATATAGATAAAACTATGAAGTATGAAAGAAATTTGATTTGGCAACACCCCCCCCACCCCCACCCCAGGTCTACCTCTGCCTTTTATTCACAATTCCTACTGGATTCTTCCCTTTCCCCATTAAAATGCTAACAGATAAGTGGTTAGCTGCCAAGGGTTTAACCTGTGAGCTAAGTGAGAGAAAATCAAGCCTGACCAACACTTGGCCAGCCAGCGCTCCCACCACAAAATCGTTTCCCAACTTTGGTTTTGTGTTGCACACAGTTAGTTACCTCTAGCCTAGAGGGCTAGAGGAGCACTGATCTCTCCTAATGGTCTAAGACTTGGACAGGTGCTCTCTTATTGGCCAAACCACCTGCTTACCACAACCTTCTTGTCCCTGTCCACTTCAGTGGCCAGATATATGTCCCCCCCCACCCCCACACGCATCCCCACCCTTAGGTTGTTGTCTATCCCCCTAGGAACATAAGCTCCTGGAGGGCAGGAATTATCTTTCTTTTTGCTTGTATCTATATTCACCATGCTTAGCCAGTGAAAGAGCAAAATAAAAACTAGTTTCCTTCCTCCCCACTCTCCCAAGAAAGGGGAATACTTAATATTTGCCATCAGAAAGGTTGTCAAGCCCTGGTCTGTAGGATCTTTCAAAACCCAAGAATCCCCAAAGTTTCTAGAGCCACAGCTATTATGGAAAAAGTAAGAGGCAGAATTCACCAAGTGGAGACAGAACTTCTTAGAATCCTCTTAGCACTCCTTAGAAACAAACATGAAAAAGACAATCCTCTTTCTGTTCATTCGGTATTGAAATGTGAGTTGCTTGTGGTCTCAGGAAGAGAAGACAAGGGTGGTATTTCAGGGGACATCTATAACATTCAGAGGCAGCATGGTGTGAAGTGGGCACTAAACGAAGAGCTGGAGGAACTGGGTTCAAGTCGTGGGTAGCTATAAATAATTCATTGAGCCCCGCTGAACCTCAGTTTACTAATCTGAAATACAGGGATAAGAATATTTGCACTATTCATGGAATAGGGAGGGGTGGAGTATGTTCCAAATTGTAAAGCACTCTATAAATGCGAATTATCCACTAAAAATCCCTTCTCTCTTGAAGACCACTTTCTTAATACTATTTTAGAATGTATAATGAACAGTCTTTTCCTATATAGATCCCCAAAGCAAAAATCCTGGTAGACAGAAAAGAAAGAAAAGCCAAGATTGCCTTACATGTTTGTTCTTGATATTTCTCAGAAATCCCCCGAAACAAAACGCTAATACCTTTATCGAGTCCCTGGATAAGTTTTCAGTTTGTTTGTTTGTTTGTTTACAGAACTTTGCCATTAAGTAGGAGGATTCCAGGCATGTGGAATATGGAAAGAATCCTTTGCTTCATATTTTTCTTGGACCTCTTTAATTCCCCCTTAAAACTGAGGACCAAGCCTCCCCACAAGTGAACTAAAACCAGGATGAGAGTCAGGGTTCTGTGTTTCAGTGTTCTCAGAAGTGGTGAACCAACTAGACTGGGCAGATAAGTGAACTCTAAGGCTATCTGAATAATCCACATCTTTGTGAACCCTGCTTGGATATTTGCATAAACCTAGTAACTCAACAGGTGTCTGTACAGGTGCGTAGGAAATCATGAGCAAAACCCTATTTCTAATTGGAAATAGTAAATCAGAGCAGTGATGCCAAATAGACTCTAGCATGCTCATCCCTCTCCAGGTATCCTGGCTAAGAGATAGGTAGGAATGAGCTTCTCCTGCCCATTCCAGTCTTAAAGCATAAAGAAATGCCTCTTTGTAGGTTACTCAGTTCACATATCATCCTTATTTGGTGCCCTGTTGAAACAAAGAACTCATATGAGCAAGTCCTTTGCAATGTTTGTAGTCATCTCAATGACCTCTCTCCCTGTCCTGAAGGGACTGGGTGGCTGGTGATTGAGTTCCAAGTAACCAGGAGTATCCCAAGACTCTGATCATCAGGAGAGTATTTGGGAGGAGGGTCCATCTCAACTCAGACAGTTTGGAAGGCTCTGCTCTGATTGGGGACCGTGCTGGGTATGGTCCCTGCCTTGGATAGGGTGGCATGATGGACTTGCTTTGGCTCTGGGCCTCTTGCTTCTGACCCCACCAAGCTGTAGGGGTGGGAGGCTGCCCCTGGCTGGGCTGCAGCCTCACTGGATAGTGTCCTCTGACTTCGGGAGGCACTATTGGCTGTGGAGCGGGTGGAGGAGGAGCCAGAACGGGAACTCCTGGAACCAGAGGATGAGGAGCCAGGTTTCACAAGTCGAGCTTTAGGTGCCTCAGCATCTTCTCTGCAGACAGAAATAAGAGGGGATTAAAATTCAGAAGAGAAAGCCTGAGTCTAAGTGCAGAGATGCTCTTCTCAAATCAAGTCACCATGCATTCATTAAGCATTTACTTTCTGCCGGGCACTATGCTAAGTGTTGGAGATACCAATAAAAGCCAAAATAAAAAGAACAAACCAGTCCCTGCTCTCAAGGGGCTCACAGTCCAATGGGGGAGCAACATACAAACAACTATGTACAAACAAGATATAAACAGAATAAAATGGAAATAAATCTCAGAGGGAAGTCACTAACATTAAGAGGGATCAGGAAAGGCTTTTTGTAGAAGGTGGGAATTTAGCTAGGACTTGAAGGAAGCAGGAGGCAGAGATGAGGAGGCAGAGAATTCCAGGCATTTGAGACAACCAGTGGAAATGCCCAGTCAGAAGGTGGAATGTCCTATTTAAGAAACAGCAAGAGGCCTATCACTGGATCTGATTGATGGTACCTAGAAGGGAGTCTAGGAAGGTTATGGGCCAGGTTATGAAGGGCTTTAAAACGCCAAACAGAGGATATTCTATTTGATTGTGGAGATAAAGGGAGCCATTGGAGTTTATTTAATAGGTGGAGGTGACACGATCAGACAAGCATTTTAGGAAGATCTAGAGAACAGAGGAGTGGGAAAGACTTACCCCTAAGGCATTATGTGATGAGGGCAAGAATCAGGGTGGTGACAGCATCAGAAGAAAGAAAGGAATGTATGAGAAAGATATTCTCAAGTGACTGCTTTCTGAGGGTTGTGGGCTCACCCCTAAAAAGGGTTAGAGGAGTATGTTGGGACATTGTGCATTAAGGTAAGACAGAAGGTGTTAGTGAAGTTAGAGGGGAAGGTTTTCTATCAATGTGTTGAATCTGTTGAGGGGAGGATGCCTGCATGTTTATATGTGTGTATCTTTTGGGAGAATGGAAAGAGGTCAAAAGAGATCTAATAGGAAATGTTGATAAACAAATAGGAAAACAGAGAAAAAGCCTAAGAAAGGTAATCCAGAAGCAAGGTCACATTTCTATATGGAGCCTTAAATGAAGTTTGTTGACTGTCTTACAATTAATTGTATACCTCTTTCAAGGTGTTTTCACCTTTGTTATCCCATTCAGTCTTAACAGCAGTTCTATTACCTTATCACCATTTTATAGATGAAGGAACTGAGGTTCAGATAAGCTTTAACTTGCTTAAAGTCACATAAAGGTTAGGACCTAGTGGTGATTTCTTTGTCCAGTGCTCTTTCTATTATATTCTGCTCCTGTTTAACTGTATTACAATAATATCATTCTATTAAAATAATTATAGGTTTCTTTATTGTCTTAGGAATAACCCATTAAAGCACTTTTCTAAGTATTATGTCCAAACTAAAAGAATACTCAATTTGAGGAATCTGATGCATGACTAAGAGGCAGTTAAGTGGAAATTGGGAATTCTTGAAGTCATATTGCTGATAACCACAAAGCTAGATCTAGAATTCAATTCAACAGAATTCAACAAACATTTGTTAAGCCTTTCCTCTATGCAATACACTAGGTACTGGGAATAAAAAGCAGGAGTTTATGCTCTATTGGGGTTGGGTGTGGATGGAATATAATTTATACCGAGAAGTAAAGGTGATTTGAGTGGGTAAAGTTATCAAAGAAGTAGCGCCTAAGCTTAGCCTCCATGAAAATTCTCAGAAGAAAGAACATTTCAGATATGGAGTGTGGCTTGTCACCATGGAAAGTTGTTTGGAAACAGCTAGTAGTCCAATTTGGCTAGAATACAAAATGCTGAGACGAGTTTATCCAAGGTAGATGGAAGCTAGATTGTTGACGGCTGAGAAGTTTTACTGAGTCCTTGAGAGCCATCAAAGGTTTTTGAGCAGCAGAGTGCCAGGGTCAGACCTGTCAGTTCTTAGGAAGATTATTTTGGCAGCTATGTGAAGGATGGATCAGAGTGAAGAAAGTCTAGAAGCAGGGACACCAGTTAGCAGGATATTACAATGATTCAGATGAGAGGGCCTGAACCAGTTTTATAGTAAAGTGAATATTGAGAACAGAACATATTTGAGAGATGTTAGGGAAGGAGAATAAACCAGACTTGGAGCAACTGATAGGATGTGGGGGTTAAGGCAGTGGAAAGAGTCAAGGATAACCCTGAGGTAATAAGCCTAGGTGATTGAGAGGCCTTTCTTCTTTTTCAACTTTTTTAAACAGAAAAAGAATTGAAATATCTAGGAAAGGTTTGGGGATTTTTTTTTTTACCTGATTTCATTGGGTCTCTCTTCTTCTTCATATCTTTTCTTGTCTTTTCTTCGGATGAGCAACCATATCAAGAGGAAAATCAGTAGGGCTCCAGCCACCATACCCGTCACTGCACCCGCAATCATGCCAATGCTTTGTACATCTGTTTCCTCAGAAAGCAGAATCAGAACTGGACATGAGCTGAGAAAACCAGATACTTAGAAAACACTAACCTCAGATTGGGTTATGGAGTACTTCGCTTTTGGGTATAAAACAACTACAACCATCCTTTTCTGGGGTGAGTCACTACCATTTTCTATGTTTTTGCAATCAAGATCATTAAAAAACTGAGCTTTGGAGCAAGTGTTCTAGGGATTGGCAACTTAATAACCTTCTGCTTATACCCTTTTCCTTTCTTGTTGTCTTTCTTCTCGCTCCTTCCTCCTATGATAAAAATGAATAAAAATGGAGTCCTTGGCTTAGACTCAGGGTGAGATTTAACTACAGGAACTTAGAAGTAGGATTCAGGCAGGGCTAGGAGCTCACTTAACTGCTTGGTATTTCTCTTCCCCAATTTATACTCAGAACCTCTAAATTTCTACATCTAGCCTAACAACAACTATAATAATAATAAATAGTAATGATGGTTCATGTTTACATTGTATTCTTTAGTTTATGAATTACTTTACTCACAGAACTTGAGAGGGGCTGAAGGAATTGAGGGGATTAGAACAGCAAGTGTTAGTGGAAATTGGGTGAACCCACTGACTTCATCTTATGACTCAATTCTAGAGCTAGTTCAGTTCCCTTTTATTCAATTATGGGTCTAACCCAATTTTTTTTTTAATGTCAGGCAATTGAGGTTAAGTGACTTGCCCAGAGACACACAGCTAGTGAATGTTATGTATCTGAGATCGTATTTGAACTCAGGTCCTCCTGACTCCAGGGCCGGTGCTCTATCCACTGCGCCACCTATTTGCCCCCCAAATTTTGTCTTGTGAGAAAAGTTTATTCAATTGTGGGAATTGGGAGAAAACCTTATTGTATTGTTTGAACCTAGCCCTTCATGTCTGGGAAACTGGACCACCTCTACTTGCTGTTTAGAGACCCTTAACTAAGGACTAGAAACTTAGATCCAAAGACTGATGCAAGGAATTTTCTCACAATTGTACATTTCAAGCAACCCATATGTCTTATCTGAAAACTGGACCCAAACTGATCAATCAGTTATTGTTGCCATGTTCCTTTGATTGCTTATAGATACTTGGGAGGAATGAGACACCTCATTTCCTGATTTCAGGGAATTGCAAACCTGTTCACTCTCCTCCTTGCAACTTGGAAAGTCCCTAATCTTTCCTCCAGTTAGAAATCAGATTACCTAATGTTGTATTGTTTCCTTTTAATTAGTTGGTCTTATTTGATTAATTGTTTTTAATGTATAAGAATCTGTGTCCCCCTCTATTCTGGGTTCAGGCCTAAGGTAAGAAGATCTGGGCCCTGTTTGTTGAACAATTACCATGTTGTGCTTAAACGATCAAACCTTTGTTTCCTCAGTCTTTTCATCTTTCACCTGCCGTAAGAGGTAGATAGATTGAGATTTATTATTCCCATTTTATAGATGTGAGAACAGAGGCTTAAAGAGGTCAAGACAGATTACGCTCTATTAAATTGTTTGGGTTTGGAGGCTCCCTGAACCAAAAATTTCACCCTACTTCTGAAATGCCTGGAGCTTCTATTAAGAGAATCAGTTATCCATATGTCCTCAAATGGTTTATCTCAAGATTTATCTATAGTAGTTAGAACCCCTATGTCCATGGAGTCATCATATATACTCTGATATCCCTTTTTAAAAAATGCCAGCAATCAGTTGCTCTTACAAGGCTCACACTGGAAGACCTTCAGATCACGAGGCTAACAAACTGCTTACTACATCAAGCAGACCCTGAGTTAGAGTTTGGACTTCCTGTTTGAAAGTCTAAAGCTGACAAACTGACTATGGCAAATTATTAAAAAGGCACATCCAGAACTGTATCTTTAGGGACACTGTGTGTTTGTGTGTTATAATTTATGATTTTTAAAAAATTAACAAGTATCTTTTTTCTCTCCCTTCTATTTCCTTCCTTCTGCTCAACCATCCAATGGCCCCCCCTTACCCCAGCAATAAATAGGGATGTCTTTGTTAAAAAAAAACAAACAAAAAAAACCCCTCTTTTATTCTTGTCTTGAATGAGTAGTGGTATAGGCCAGCCATAAATGAATGAATGAATGAATGGATGAATGAATAAATAAATAAGGAATGTTAATTTTTTTTTGGCTCCCTGTGGCCCTCCTGGGGAAGGGTAGACAGGCTATTAAATACGTTTGATGGATTACTAAACTCTTCACTCTTGTTTGCAAGTCTACTCCCAAGTTCAGGTAGAATAAATCTTCCCTAGTCACCTGGGAAATTATGAAATCATTCTAGGAAATAGAGCTTTGATCTTGAACTTGTTAATGCTCAGACTTTTTGTCCCTGAAGCACAGTACTTGCTGCAGGGAGACTCAAGAGAGCAAGACTTCCTGCTTCCGCTGCTGCCTTCCCACACTTCCGCCGCATCTACTGTCCTCCCATACTCACACTGCACAGTCACTCGAACCACACAGGTTTCCTTCCCCGCCTCATTGCCAGCTGTGCATTGATAGAGTCCAGAGGAAGATAAAGTGAGATTCTGTAGCAAAACACGCCCAGGATTTTCATAGTCTTAACACAAAACAGAAAGACAGATTTTAAGTTCTTCCTCGGCAGGCTCATGGCTACCTAAATTTGCACCTTGAGCACTGTGGGCATATTAATAATTAATAAATGCGAGTTGTTTGAATGACCAATAAAATTCACTGTTAATCAATGGGGAGAAACTGGGGGGCATTTTTATTTTAGGTACCTTTCTAAAATTAAAAAGGGATGGTATGCTTTTAGAGAATACCAAGTAAGACAAAATAAGAATGACTTGGATTGCTCTATCCTTTCAATAAAAGTAATTTAAATTTATAGAGTTTTATTGTTTGCAAGGTGAGTTCCTCATAACAACCTAAGAAAATGAGATTATTATCAACATTTTGGTCAATTCCTATCATAAGGCAGCTAGGTGGGGGGAGTGGATAGAGCTCTGGACTCAAAGGCAGGAAGAGTGGAGTTCAAATCTTGCCCAAGACACTTAATAGTTTTGTGACTGTAAGCATGTCACAACACACCTTCTGTACCAGTTTTTTCATCCAAAAAATGGGGATGACAACAACACCTACCTCACAAAGTTGTGTGTAACATACATAAAGTGCTTCACAAACCTTAAAATTCTACATAAATGGTAGATATTATTATATTATTATTATATATTATATTATTATAGGTAAAGATTAGAGAGGTTATGTGACTGACCCAAAATCATACAGATAGTTCATAGCAGAGCTGGGATTTGAACCCAGATCTTCTGGCAACAAGTCCAGGGCTCTTTCCACTATACTTTGAATATAACATACCACTTTCATGAAGAAGAGGGGAATGAGCTATTATATGGCCATTTTATAGATGGAGTAATTGACTTCCTGAAACTTGCTCAAGTCATATAGTGAATTGCTGGCAAATACAAATTTAGAATTCAGTTTGTTTGACTGTCAATGCTACACTCAATCTGCTAGTCTGATGAGAAAGTAGAAAGATGACTTACCAACCCGTGATTTCGGGGGCAGGTGCTCATCTTCTCCCTCTTTTTCCTTGATGCGCTGCCAGTGGTACACAATAGGCTTTGTGCCTGAAGATGACTCACACTGCAGGGTCAGGTCCCCTCCCTCAGTCAGCACTCCTTCTAGCTCACATTTAGGTTTAGATGGTTTCACTGGCATCATAAGAACAAGCATCATACAGTTAGCCACCAAAGATCCCAAAGGGTAAGACTCTGGGATGATGATTAGTCAGTCTGTCATGGAACACAGCCATGCTGTGCAGCTCCCGTGATGTGGCTTTTCCTCTTCTACTCTCCCCGTGTATCATGTCACCCTATTTTCCCTATTTCATAGTACAGACAGCCCCTCCATCTTTCCCTTCTCAAAGCCTAGAAATAATTTTAGAAGAGATGTTGCCAGGCATTTAATAACACCATGAGTGTAGGTTTAATCACTGAAAATGAGCCAGTTTAGATAAAACTAGTTTTCTCCATAAGGTGAGTTAGTTCAGCTGGTTATAGGATAATGCTAATAGTCAATAAACATTAATTAAACACCCACTTTGTGGCAGCTAGATCGTGTAGTGGATGGAGTACCTGGACTAGAGTGCCTGGCCTGGAGTCAGGAAGACTGATATTCCAGAGTTCAAATCTGGCTCTGACACTAGCTGTGTGACCCTGGGCAAGTCACTTAACCCTGTTTGCCTCAGTTTCCTCATCTGTAAAATGAACTGGAGAAGGAAATGGCAAACTACTCCAGTATTTTTTGTCGTGAAAACCCTAAATGGGGTCATGAAGAGTTGGACACAGCTAAATATGACTGAACAACTAATGAGGTGAGGTAGACTCGAAATAGATGGAGCAAGCAGGAAGCAAGATGTGAAATATGAGATAAGATGCAGGATGTGACCAGCCAGAAAAGAGATCAGAGAAGACTGTGCATTGAAGCCCTCTACTGTGCTTTCACAAAGCACCCCCAATTCCAGAACATCTCTTCCCATCCCCTGTCCTATTCCCTTTGCTTATCTGTATGATAAAGGCACCTCTGGACTACCTGATATCCCAGGCATTTCGGAGCCATGCTTGCTCCTTCCATTCTCTTGTCCCTTTCTTCCTATCCCATATAATTGTATTTAACCCAGACACCTAACCCCCAAGGCTCTGCCTCTCCCATATGGCAGCAGGCCTGCTTGGGTGCATCACCTCAATAAATACCTTTCTTTAAGTTGGAGACTGCCTGAGTGAATTCCCTCAGACACTAGGACCCACCCGTCTGTTCCTCATAATTTCAGGTGGCACCCCAACATTTTGGGGTGCCCCTGAACTTATCACAATGATGGCAATGTGCCAAGAATTACATTAAATGCTGAGGATACAGAAAGACACAAAAGACAACTCCCTGCTCCTCTAGGAAATAACAATCTAATAATACTAAGATTTAGTCCCATGTATGGGCTAGTTGTGATTTTTGAATGGCAATTTAAAATAAAGAAATGATGAACTCTTGGTCTGGGAAGAAGTGCACTTGAGAGAGGCAAGGCAAAATACATTTGCCTGTAATCTTGCAAATCCAATCAAAAAAATGAAAAGTAAAGAGAAAAAGGATTGTGAAGAGGAGAAAACTGCCTATTACAATGAGAATACTAGCAATAGAGATGCTTGGTAAGAGGAGGCAGAAACTGGTGAAAAGTAGCCAACAGTAAAACCCATGGAGTCAGATGTCTGTCTGTCTATTGACCTATCTATCAACCTATCTATCTATCTGTCTACACACACACACACACACACACACACACACACACACACACACCTGGCATGCACAACCAAATACAAAATACACACACATAAACAAAATATAGGTAACAAGCAAGGTGAACCAGAATGCCTAAAATAAAAGAGGCAAATTTGATTTTATAGGTATCACCACCACTTGGTCAGGGGGTATCTTTGACTAGAATAAAGCTTTGAAAGGGAAAAGCTTATTCAAAAGGATATAGTGATGTAAAGTAATCCAAGAACCAGAAGTCTAGTAGAGAGAATTTTGTTGAGATGAATGAAGCAAGAAATAGTATTCATATTTGTCACTGGAATAAGAAAACAACAAGCCACTTAGATACATGGAGAAAATAGATGAAGAGTTTGGAAAACATAACACTATCGTGACACAAAGGTATGATTTGGAAATCATTGAAGACTTCATTCATCCAGATATCTATTAACTAAGTAAATAAATTATGCCAAAAGTAGAATAGCTAGGTACTTCTTGTTGTTCAGTCCAGTCTGACTCTTAACCCTATTTGGAGTTTTCTTGGCAGAGATATTGAAGTAGTTTGTCATTTCCTTCTCCAGCTCATTTTACAGATGAGGAAACTGAGACAAACAGGGTAAAGTGACTTGCCGAGGGTCACACAGCTAGTCAGTGTCTGAGGCCGGATTTGAACTCAGGAAGATGAGTCTTCCTCACTTCACAGAGTATATTTCCATTCACTAAAGGGTGGAGGATTTGACAAAATGCCTTAGGGCTACAGACAAGATGAGAATCCTGATTAATCCAATTCTGACTAAACAATTTCTCCATTTTCTACACATAGCAGTAGAACATATAATTGAAAAGTATAGTGGGTGGAGTTATTAAACCAGCCTCTTTTTAATCTGCCATGCATTTGCCTCCACTTAAAAGAATAGATAAGATATTGACCTATATTAATATATTGATATAATTAATAATATATAATATAATAATAACAAATAATGTTTTCCCTTTCAAGTTTTGTTCCAGTCAAAGTTCCCCTCTAAGTCTCAGGGATACCTATGAGATCATATCTGCCTATTTGGTTTTAGACACTCTAGCCTAGTAAATTAATAGACAAGCTGGGCTGTACTAAGGTAGGACTCCTCCCTTGTAAATGGGTGAATAGTTGAAAGGAGAGAGGTAGCGCTTCCTCTCCTCATCCAACTACTGAGGTCGATACTGAATCAAGGATAATATAAGATTAGGGAAGGCACCCTATTCAAATGTGCACATAGAAAATATGTGTTTCCTTGGGCAGCAATGGACTAGAAGAACTGTAGGATTTAATTTTACAGATGAAATGTGGTTCCTGAGTTTGCCATTAGGTTAACTGACCATATCAGAAATCACACTGGGTTGCCATTTTCTTTTCTGTAAAATGAAGGGTTGGACTAGGTGACCTCCAAGGTCTCCTCCACCCCTGCCCCTCAATTTCAACACTGTGACTGAAAATCAGTCAGTCTGTCATACAGCATTTATTAAGTACTTACTAAGTATCAGGGATTGTGCTAAGCACTGAGATACCAAGAGAGCGAAAGCACAGTCCCTGCACTGGGTCTAGGAAATCACAATCTAAGGAATCCTGCAAGATAATACATAGAATGCTGGACTGACAGGCAATCCAAAGACCTGGTTTGGAATCCCTGTTCAGACACTAGCTATGTGAATCTGGGCAAGCTCTCTGAACTTCAATTTCCTCATCTATAAAATGGGGATAATGGTGGCATCAGACTCATAGGGTTTTTGTAAGAAATTAATAATTTATGTGATGCACTTTGCCAATCTTAAATCATTACATAAATGGGAGCTTTTACTATGGTTTGTCAAATGCAGTTGACAGAAGCTGACCAGATCCCCATTCCCAGACCCACACTATCACTCCCAGCCTCCATCACCTAAATGTCCTAAACTTTCCCTTCAGAGATTCCCAAGCTTTCTCCATGGATTTTCAGTAGTTATGCAAAACTATTTACCACATGAAACCAAAGGAAGTCCCCATCGTGTGGCGCCAGCAACCCCTTTCCCTCTACCCAAGAACCTCTGCTCCTGCCCCTCTTCCAGCTCCCCAGTACTCGCTGCTGTATCGACATTCCTTGTCCCAAATAAAAATTACAATTTTTGCTATATCGGCTGCTTTCTCGTTAATTCAAGTTGACAGGTTCTGTGAGTGATGATGAAAATGGCTTATGACCTAGACTATCTAGTGAGAAGAAGCTTGTTTTTATATTTAATCATCTGCTAGCTAGTTTGTAGCTCTGCCCTTTCTAACCACTTTGTTGTTCAGTCATGTCACCTCTCTGTGACCCCATTTGGGGTTTTCTTGGCAAAGAAAAGTGGTTTGCCATTTCCTTTTCCAGCTCATTTTACAGATGAGGAAACTGAGGCAAATAGAATTAAGTGACATGCCCAGGGTCACACACGTAGGAAGTGTCTAAAGCCAAATTTGAACTCAGGTCCTCCTGACTCCAGGGCCTAAACTCTATCCACTGCCCACACTTACCTTCTAGTATCCCTGGATGCTTGGTAATTGGGTTCACCCACTAACATGCTACAAATGGCTCCAGGTGGTGTTTTTTTTTTCCTTTTTTCTTTATTAATTTATTTTGCTTTATCAGCAATCACTTCCATAAGCTTTTGAGTTTTAAATTTTTCTCCCCCTCCCTCCTCACCTTCCTCCCTAAGACTGCCAGCAATCTTGTATAGTCCAGGTGGGGTTTTTAACTGAAGCCCAGCATGTATATTAAAAAATTTGAATGTAAGTCTGAGAATCTTCCCCTTTAGGAAGAGCCTAGAATACTTTTTAATCTGTTGGCCATTATCTGCCCTGTTTCCTTATTATCCTTTTGTATTTATTTAATTCTCTGGCATTTTAAAACCAGAAAAGAGGTGAATGGGGTTAAAAAGATTTATACCCACTCTCCACACGGATATTAAAAGATAAACTAACTTTTCATGAGTGTTTGAAGTTTTAATTCTTCTTATGCTTCTTAATTCTTAAAACTTAGAGATGGGTACACTGTGTGCTACTACTCCACAGATATTAAAAGGGTTTGCTCTTCGTTCAAACCTCAATCAGTAGGCACTGTCGTGCCCTCAAAAAACCAAGCACCGAACTGCCAAACAGCTTTCCACAGAGCCAAAGGGCTTTAGCCAAGATAAATTTTTAATCAGATAAGTAACTCTGCTGGGCTTTTAGCTGTTTGCTCCCCATAGGTGAATAAAGTAATTTGTTAAACTCAATATGCTTAAATGGAAACTGCATTATTCAAGCATTAATTTGTTCTGTGATCTTGGGTAAGTCATTTCTCCCCAAGGCCAGTTGCTTTCTCTGTAAAAGGAATTGGGAAGAGAAGGGGTGATCTTAGATTTTCCTGTATTAAAA